GTCGTCTGACTTTCATCTGTGGTCACAGCGATGGCTCCTACCCCGGATACTACACCTTCCGAGGACCTGCGTACAAGGAAGATGACAGCATTCGTCACAGCGAGCCCGCTCTTGCTTTCCAGCTTGAGCTTGCTCGTCTGGCCAAGTTCCACATCAAGCCTGTTTTCACTGAGAACAAGAGTATCCACGTTTACGAGGGTATTGGCAAGACTGTGGACACTGACAAGCGATACTTTACTCGTGCTGTCATCCGACCTGGTCGTCTTCGGGACGAGATCCCTACTGCCGAGTATCTCATCTCTGAGGCTGACCGTGTCGTCAACGACATCTTTGATGCCCTGGAGATTATCGGCAACAACAACTCCGATCTGAACCAGGTCTTCATCAACTTCACCCCCGTGTTCCAGCTCCAGCCCAAGGAGGTTGAGGAGTCTCTGCAGGGCTTCCTTGATCGATTCGGTATCCGAGCTTGGCGCCTCCGTATCGCCCAGGTCGAGATCCGCATTATTTGCACGGATCCCCAGACCGGAACTCCTTACCCTCTCCGTGTTGTCATTACCAACACCTCCGGATATGTCGTCGACGTCGACATGTACGCTGAGCGCAAGTCGGAGAAGGGCGAGTGGGTCTTCCACAGCATTGGTGGTACCCACGAGAAGGGTCCCATGCATCTGCTGCCCGTCTCTACCCCCTATGCCACCAAGAACTGGCTCCAGCCTAAGCGATACAAGGCTCACCTCATGGGAACTCAGTACGTCTATGATTTCCCTGAGCTGTTCCGACAGGCTATCCAGAACACCTGGACCAAGGCCGTCAAGCTTCAGCCCAGTCTGGCCGCTCAGCAGCCCAAGACTGGTGACTGCATCAGCTTCACCGAGCTTGTGCTTGATGACAAGGACAACCTTGACGAGGTGAACCGTGAGCCTGGTACCAACACTTGTGGTATGGTTGGTTGGATCTTCCGGGCTCGCACCCCTGAGTATCCCAATGGCCGACGATTCATCGTCATTGCCAACGATATCACCTACAAGATTGGTTCTTTCGGCCCCAAGGAAGATGACTTCTTCTACAAGTGCACTGAGCTTGCTCGCAAGCTTGGCATTCCCCGTATCTACCTGTCTGCCAACTCTGGTGCTCGCCTTGGTCTTGCGGATGAGCTCATGGGCCACTTCAAGGTTGCTTGGAACGACGCCAGCAACCAGCTGGGCGGCTTCCGATACCTCTACCTTGACGAGGAGGCCAAAACCCGCTTCGAGAAGGACGTCATCACCGAGGAGGTCTCTGAGGATGGTGAGAAGCGACACAAGATTGTCACCATCATTGGTAAGGAGGAGGGTCTTGGTGTTGAGTGTCTGAGGGGATCCGGTCTTATTGCCGGTGCCACCAGCCGAGCCTACAACGACATCTTCACCGTGACCCTGGTGACCTGCCGATCAGTTGGTAAGTTGATTTGTCCATTAACGAAAGTGCTTCTCTAATATTTAATAGGTATTGGTGCTTACCTCGTCCGTCTCGGTCAGCGTGCTGTCCAGATTGAGGGTCAGCCCATCATCCTGACTGGTGCCCCTGCCCTTAACAACCTGCTTGGTCGTGAGGTGTACACCTCTAACCTGCAGCTGGGTGGCACTCAGATCATGTACCGCAACGGTGTCTCCCACATGACCGCTAACGACGACTTTGCTGGTGTCTCCAAGATTGTCGAGTGGATGTCGTTTGTTCCCGAGAAGCGCAACAGCCCCGTGCCCGTCAGCCCTAGCGTGGATGACTGGGATCGTGACATCACCTACTTCCCTCCCCAGAAGCAGCCCTATGATGTCCGGTGGATGATTGGTGGCCGCGAGGGTGAGGACGGTTTCGAGTCTGGTCTGTTCGACAAGGACTCGTTCGTCGAGGCTCTCGGTGGCTGGGCCAAGACTGTTGTTGTCGGTCGTGCTCGTCTTGGTGGTATCCCCATGGGTGTCATTGCTGTCGAGACTCGATCGGTTGAGAACATTACTCCTGCCGACCCTGCCAACCCTGACTCTATCGAGCAGGTCAGCAACGAGGCCGGTGGTGTGTGGTACCCCAACTCTGCCTTCAAGACTGCCCAGGCTATCAACGACTTCAACAACGGTGAGCAGCTGCCCCTGATGATCCTTGCCAACTGGCGTGGTTTCTCTGGTGGTCAGCGAGACATGTACAACGAGGTGCTCAAGTATGGATCTTTCATCGTCGATGCCCTCGTCAAGTACGAGCAGCCCATCTTCATCTACATTCCTCCCTTCGGTGAGCTCCGTGGTGGATCTTGGGTCGTCGTCGACCCTACCATCAACCCCACAGCTATGGAGATGTACGCCGATGTCGAGGCCCGTGGTGGTGTCCTTGAGCCCGAGGGTATCATTGGTATCAAGTACCGCAAGGACAAGCAGGTCAAGACCATGGAACGCATGGATCCTGAGTATGCCTCCCTCAAGAAGCAGCTCGAGGACCTCAGCCTGTCTACCGAGGAGACCGACGAGATTAAGAAGAAGATGGCCATCCGCGAGAAGCAGCTGCTGCCCGTGTACGCCCAGATCGCCGTTCAGTTCGCCGACCTGCACGACCGTGCTGGCCGCATGAAGGCCAAGGGTGTTATCCGAGACTCTCTTGAGTGGACCAACGCTCGTCGCTACTTCTACTGGCGTCTCCGCCGCCGTCTCAACGAGGAGTACATCATCCGCCGCATGACCTCGACCATCATCAGCACTTCGCACAGCCAGACTGCTGCTAAGAACGCCGAGACGCGTGCCAAGTACCTGCACCTTCTCCGCAGCTGGTCGGGTATCGTCGACTGGGAGAAGGATGATCAGGCCGTGACTGAGTGGTATGAGACTGAGCGCAAGACTATTGGTGAGAAGGTTGATTCTCTCAAGTCTGAGGTGCTGGCTGCCGAGGTTGCCAGTGTTGTCCGAGGCCACGCTAAGGCTGGCTGGACTGGTGTTCGTGAGGTGCTGAGAGTCATGCCCGTTGAGGAGCGGGAGCAGATTCTCAAGTATCTCCAGCAGTAGAGGATTAGAGTAGGAGGAGGATCAAAGGACATTCGATTCGGAGGAATCTCCTAATGTGTGTTTTTAGAGGCGATTTACGCTGCTTATGGTTTTACGTCACGTCGTCAAGACATTAGAAATGATGGAGGATAGAGAAGTGGTGGGATGTGTATGAGGCGCAAGGCATTGATTGGATTTACAAGACATGTTCAATATCAATATTTCTTTACCATGAGTGATTGGCTCGTTGATGTGAGGTGATGGTAATGAATGTGCTGCTACTCAGGAGGGAGTAGATGCTAACAACTAAAAGACTCCTTACGCTGTTGATGCCTGATCCTCACGCCGAAGACCAAGTCGCGAGAAATTCACCTACTCTTGAATGTCCAACTTGACATGAATGTGCCCTCGTTGTCTTGGAGATTAAGACAACTCAGCTTCACAACCTCGAACTCGCTCGGAAAAGGCTTCAGACCGTTGTCACCGAGGATCCAAGGCCAAGGTCGTTATTGCCCTTGGACGCGGCGCTCATGGGCTGTCGGCCAAGTTCTGTTGAATGCAAAGATGAGATTTTTCTAATCTGACCGCCGATATGTGCGCCTCGACCCTTGGGTCGTCTTTGGTAATACAATGCCGTAAATAAAAGACCCGTCTCCCAATGTCCCAATGGTGTAGTGACGGTGACCTCCCGAGTTTCCCAGCTTCTGTCCTCCCGAAACGAAGCGCCAAGTCTTGAAACTGAGGAGATATGACAGTCTCGGGCTTGGTGAAAAAGAATACCAATGGCCCAGGGCAAAGTCATTGTTGACCTATTCACCGGACTCGAAACTGTCACATCTCCTCAATTTCAAGACTTGACGCCCAGTTTGTTCCAGTTGCCGTAATTGTACAATAGCCGTTCCCGTCCCATGCCCTTCTCAATGTGTGTGTTTTTATGCCGTCTAGCTCATGAATTTCGTCGTCTTAATTTGCTCTTGAATTTTTTTTTTTGTTACGCCTCTGAGGGAACTTTTGTCCGGATCTGCACCCCGTGCCAGCCCTTGACGAGATCGCCCAACGCAGCATTCACCATACGCTGCTGCTTGAGGATTGTCTGGCCCTTGAAGGCGGCGGATGTGATATCGATGGCGTACATGCTTCCACAGCCGCCTGAGACGTCTTGGACGAGCAGCTCGCTCGGGGAGAGTTTCTCTGCGAGGATCTCGGCAATGGCGGATTCGGCAGGTGTCATTGAGGGTAGATCAGGTTCTTCCTCTAGAGCTGGGGAGGCTCGTCGGGGTAGAGACGTTGAGAGGAGACGAGCGGGTTGACGGATGGAGAAGGGCGTTGTTGAGCGAGAGACTGTGGGAGCTCGGAGGAGAGATCGCATAGGAAGGCGTGTGCGCATCGCAGCGCGACGACAAGCGTTGCAAATCATGGCAACTGACTGACTGCAGACAGTTTAATTGGTCTTGAATGTTGTGCGACGGATCAATTGGCGGCGGGGGAAGAAGAAGAAAAAAAAAAGAAGAAGTTAATGACGATGGGGGAAAAGAATGCCCATGTGCCGGAATTTGGAGGCCGAGAGATTACCTAATTGAGAAACTTGCAGCCAGGGGTGGGCAACTGGGGAAGAGAGTAGAAAAAAAAAGTGGAGGGGGCTTTGAAATCAGATTTTGGGGATTTGCTGAGATATGGGGATAGATAAGATCTATCAATATTATTTAGAGTATCATAATACGGCTATAAATCAACAGCTTACATATCGTATAATGTACATATGATAGAGAATGGTCAAATGTTGAGGTGAATGTCTGATATGGCTTGTGAGAGTGGAGGCACTCAGTTCCTTTTCATCCGATGGCTGGTGGGAACTAAAATTTGCTGGACAAGGCTTCCCTCGACGAGAGTCTAGAGCCACGTAATCTCGTCGTGACTTGTGATCTCATCGATTCTTTCATTACAATTTGTTTGCCTGTTTGGTCTTGAGATAATACATGTTTGATCTTTTAACCGATGCCACGAAAGGTATGAAAACGACCCTTGTTGGGATCAATTGGCACTACTGACTGACCTTAGAACCGAACCCCCGAATCTCTCGCTCTCAACCGAGAGAATCAGCGTCGCTCGCGTGCGAGACAGCGTGAACTCCTCGAAGACCTGCAGCGTCGGGTTCGTGAGTACGAGACCCGCGATGGACAGGCTACTCTTGAGATGCAGCGTGTAGCGAGGGCCGTCGCTGGTGAGAACGCCGCGCTCAGGAGCCTCCTCGCCTCGAAAGGGGTTGCCGCCGATGAAGTTGAGGCTCATCTCGAGGCTGCGAGGGCCGGAGCATCTTCTACAGTGTCCATGGCATGTACCCCTGCGTCAAATTCACCTTGTGCTGCGTCGCCGGTGACTATTGCCCCGAGACCAGTAGCTTGCTCGCAGCCTAGCGGATGTGCTCCATGTTCTTCTCAAAGACAGCTCAAGGCACGCTCTTCAGCAACACCTACGCCAGCAGCCCCCTCCCCACAACCCTGCAAGCAAGAGGCAGACACGCCCACAATCAGTTGTCGCCCCCAACCACGGCCTGAATCTCAGGAGACTTCAAACCCCAAGCCGCTGGACAAGATTCACTGCATGGAGGCTGCCACCATTCTGGCTCAGATTCGAGGAAACTCGGATATGTCTCAGGCACGAGCTGCTCTCGGCTGCTCCAACAACGATAACTGCTTGGTCCGGAACACAGATCTTTTAGATCTCATGGATGAGATGACTTGATGCTCGCCGAGTCTATTACACTATGCCTAACCCCTTTTCCTCCAACCTCTCGACTCTATTAAACACCCTACCACACTTAAGTCCTCCAACTCCATTTATCCGAAACCCACCGGAGGAGATACACCAACCCCAACAACACCGGAACTTCAATCAACGGCCCCACGGTCGCCGCGAGCGCCTGGTCACTACCCGGTCCATAGGTGGCGATGGCCACTGCTATCGCAAGCTCAAAGTTGTTGCTCGCAGCCGTGAAGCTCTGTGTCGTCGAGAGCGGGTATCCAAATCCCCATTTCCGCGCCATGAGAAGCGTTGCGAAGAAGATGACGATAAAGTAGACGATTAGGGGCGCTGCGACACGGACGACTGATACGATTTGGTGGACTACTTGGTGGCCCTGCGAAGCAAAGAGGATGAGGATTGTGTATAAAAGTCCGATGAGGGACCACGGCGAGGCGATGCGCAGGAATACCCGCTCATACCAATCTGCACCAAGCGTCGCTCGAAGGGAGAACCGGGTTATAACAGCAGCACCAAGGGGAATCCCTAGGAACACGGCTACACTCGTGGCGACGGTCGAGTAGGATACTTCGAGTGCGCCCTCTTCTCTACTGATGATGCTGATGAAGAAGATGGCCATGGGGGCGTAAAGGGCCATCTGGAGGATCGAGTTGATGGCCACAAGGATGGCGCAGTACTCGCTGTCACCTCCTGCGAGGCCGTTCCAGATCAGGACCATGGCGATACATCTTGCTAGGCCTACGAGGATGAGGCCGATGCGGAGTTCGGGTTTATCTGGGAGAAATGCCCATGCCAGGCCAAGCTGTTCAGGTCAGCACAAGTACAGGTGCCAGGTTCTTGTCCATCATGTTGATACCCTTTTTAGAGGCGACATTATATCTGGCGATGGAAGGAACATACCATGAGAAAGGGCGCAACGATCCAGTTAATGACAATGCTGAAGAGTATCTGCCTCCAGATATCCCGCTGAGAAAAGATCTCATGAAGACACTCGTACCGCACCTTGCAAAGGATGGGGTACATCATGACGAGAAGACCAACCGCTTGGATCATTAGCTACCACGTATGGACCTCGAAAGAAATATCATACCAATGGGCACCGAGACGCCAACAAACTTGCCCTTTTCCAGTGCTGGACCTGTCGAGGGTACAAAGTTGCCCAGGATGATGCCTACCGCCATGGCGAGGAAGATCCAGAGGGCGAGGAAACGGTCGAGCCATCCCAGGGATTTGAAGGCTGAGGCATTGGTTTTGGTTTGTGTGGAATTGTTCTCGAGGTCGTGCATGGGGGAAGGTTCTTGTTTCGTTGGTGGTGGTGTTTCTGGGGGCATTTTGGGAGATGTTGAAGGTATTTGGACGATTGTCGATTGCACAAGACGGTAGTTCTGTTCCCAAAAAAAGATCAAGATTGATGTACTGGACTCTCAAGATGAAAGAGAAAAAAGATCCTTTTTGTATCCGCTTGGATCAATGTCATGTCAAATTCTCCCATCTTCGACCGCCGTAGCATGTGCATCTACCATCGGAGCTACTGGCCAATCAGAAAAGGGGCATGACAGAGTCCTCCCGGGGTGGGGTCCGGAGGTCATGACCGAAGGTCTCGGCCACGACGGACGTTTTATTCCAAGACTGCTATTTTATAAAATTTTCAAGAGCACGGACGGAGACGGTTGTCCTTGGGTGCTCCTCTGTGGCGTCTAAATCCGTAAGTCTATACTTCTATGAGAACCTGATAACCGACGTGGCCAGGTCACTGCAGCCTGCCAGCAGCTTGGACCTTGGCAAACCAACCTCTGTTGCAAGAATACCGAGCTTGCTAGATCAACTGCTCTTTTAATTGATATTTAACTATAAACTCATGTCTAGCTCTCTTGGCTGACTTGTACATTTAAAACTATTCTATGCTTCATTATGCCAACAAGGTTCCAAGCTTCTAACCTTTGTTATCCAATACATAAACCCGTAACCATTCCTTTTATTCTACAACCAAATCATTGCGCGTACTGTATCGCAAACGGCGGTGAGTACGATTCATCCCAATCTTTCTCATCATTCTCATTTCCAAATATCCTTAACGCCCTGTACCGAACCACGTACATCCCCGCTGGCGCAAAGCCACCTCCTGCTAGCTCTCCCGTGAAAGGCTGTGAGTTGCGACCCATGGGGTTCCACAGAAGGGGAAAGTTGACAGGCTCGCCGATGACCCTGGCCTTTCCGGACGAGGATGACTTGTCCGTTGTCACGGGGATGATGTCGCCGTGCAGCTTGGCGGTTCCCAGGGCTAGGAACCAAACAACGGCTGGGAGCTCGTCCGTCTGGTTGTTGGCTGTGCCAGCCTTCGGGAGAATCCATGTCTTGTTTGCCTTGGCTGGGAAAAAGTTTTCATCGGTTGATGATGTAATCCAGGTGTCGTTGGGGCCGAGAACTGGAGAGTCGTGTAGGGAACCGGTGAGGCCTTGATAAGGGAGGGAGAGAGCGCTTCCGTCTGTGCCATTGATGGCTACGTAGCCAGACCAGACAGGCAGACGCTTCGCATCAACGCCTTGGGGTGGAGTGGGGAGCACCTCGATAACAATGCTGTCTCCAGGAGAGATAGATACCTTGGACTCACTGAACCTGACACTGGCCTGCTCGTTGGCAAAATCGTTGGGGAATCCATCAGGATACATGTAGCCCTTTGCAAGAGTATACATTGTAACCGCAGGAACATGCGAAATCTGAAATTCGACCTCCTCGCTGCCGGTGTTCTTGAGAGTAAAGTTGAGAGACTCGACAAAGTGGTCCGTATCGTTGAAAGACAGGCTCGAGGGGCTCAGGATAATCTTGGAGTGAGCAGCATCATGAGCCTGCACGATACCACTGCCCTGTTGAGGAACAGGAGCCAAAAATCTATAAAATGCTTTTCCGTCGTTGAAGAGCTGCGGCTTCGAGGTGGAAGAAAGGAGGTTCTCGAGGAAAATGGGGTCAAGTGTTCCGCGGACTTCGGCGATGAGGGCCACGATACCTGCCAAAAGGGGCGTCGCCATCGACGTACCAGACAAGACGGCGAAACTGCCCTGATCTCTGGGATAAGTAGACAAGATCTCACCTCCGGGTGCTCCAAACTGTGGCTTGACGTCCATTTCCCACGTCGGACCCCAAGATGTGAAAGCGCTGACAGCGCCGGCTGTAATGTTGTTGACGGTCTCTTGGAGCATGACGTTTCCATCGCTTCCGTCTGACATTTCCAGCACAACCTTTTCTCCCTTGCTGAGATGCTTCATCCACTCCAAACCCTGTGAGGGAGAAACAATAGCCGCAGCTTTAATGCCCGCAACCATTGAAACGTCATAAGGCATCAGATTCTCCAAGTCGCTATAGATCATCATATACTGGGCTCCAAACTTGGCCAAGTTGGTAGCTTTGACTTCAAATGTGCATGTGCCCCGTCGGATGAGCACGATATACTTGCTGAGGTCGGGAGTATTCGCCGGTAACGGGCTGCATGCGTCGTCGGCGACGGTGGTGTTGTAGTTGAGAGCCCAGAGCGGCAGCTTGACGCCCTTCCAAGCATCTGGTGCTCCAGCCAAGGATCCAAACTCGTTCTTCGGGCCGTCGTTGACGGTGTAGTGCGAGACGTTGAACAGGGCTAGTGATTTCGTGTTGTCGAATGAAGCAACAGCTGTAACATGCTTTCCGTTTCCAGCGGTATTCGCGTAGAATAGACCAGCTTCACCAGCGTTGCCAGCTGACAGGATACACGGTACTCCTTGGTCGACAATTCGGGAGACTGCCACAGCCCATGGGTCCTCGGACCAACCGGCAGGTCCTCCAATAGACGCCGAGATGATATCCGCACCGTCTTCAAAAGCCCGGTTGAAGGCGGCGATGAGAATGTCGTTACCGGACTCGCCCTTGCAGCCGAACGCTCGGTACGCGCCGATGGTGACACCTGGGGCAGCTCCGGTGAAACCCATCGAGTTGGCCTGCGCCGCGAGGGTTCCTGCAGTGTGAGTTCCGTGTCCTTGGCAATCTTGCGGGTCGTCATCTGGGGTTGCTGCGTTCTTGCCGTTGTAGGTGTCGCCGACGAGGTCGGTTCCGAAGGAGACGAGACAGCCAGGGCCAAAGCATCCTCCTAGAGCTGGATGTGTGTAGTCAACCTATATCCCCAGTCAGCAGCTAACGGCAATGACTGAGTTTTGAAAGTAACTTACACCACTGTCGACCAGGGCAACCTTGATGCCCTTGCCTGTCGCTCCCTCAGCTCGCAACTTGTCAACCTGAGTCATGATATGCGGCGAAAAGGTGTCGTTAGTCGTATCCCTCCCATACAAGTCTCTCCTTCTAATGGCTGAGTAGTCCTTGCCTGGTGTGCCCTGCCAATGAACCTCTGGTGTCGGTAGGCTAATCATCTTGACGGGCCAGCTCCGCTTGACAGCCGGCATCTTGGTCATCATGACGGCCAAGTCCTCCGCATGGTCAACATCGTTGAACTGAATCGAAGCGCCCTTGAAGAGCTTGTAATCGTACTGCATCCGCGTCGTTCCATGCTCGGAAGCCTTGGCGTAAAAGTCTGAACAGTCCTAGATCTTGTGAGTGGTGTGAACTTGAACTCAACTTGATCAACATACATTATCATCCTCAAACTCAAAGATGTAGGCGCCCGGAAGTCGGGAAGACGTCTTTTTAATGCCGATATGCTTAATGTCGACCGCACTAGCTGCCGCGGCAAAGAGCCATACGAGCGAATACAAGCGCATGATCAAGAATTAAGCCTCCCCGCAATCACGATGGAAAGATACGAGATGGGAAGAAACGGACAGCGGACGGAGGCTATATACGATCATCTGTCGGGACCCATGATCAAGGCCCCGTCGCCATCGACGACGCCGGGGATTTAGGGCGACCACCTCGAGCTGAGGCGTGGATAGCTCCCCATGCAGGAGAGTGGACATTGTCAAGCGCCTTGGTTGTCAACACGAACGAGATTGCAGGGGATTGTTTTCCAGTAGCTCCGGGAGACCGGCTTTCTCTGCATGGAAGCGAGCTTTGAAACGTCCTGTATATAGACAGGATCCTCAAGTTGACTTGTTCAAAAAGACCCAGTGGCCCCATATGAAAGGGTCTTGGCGGTAGAGCCATGACGACACCGCACAACTCATGGCTGGCTGCTGGGGTGAAAAAAAAGAGGAGAGCCGCATGAGGTGATGCGGAATTATCAGCAGTTGGGATCCCACCGTTTCAATTACAGTGTCCCAATCAACGAGATCCTTCTTTCGGTCAAGGTGTCCATGTTGAGTAACCACGGCGAGGCGGGGACCCGATAGTCAATTCCTTGTTTAATTCCGAGTTTCAAGAGAATTGATCCTTCTGATAATGTCATGTTCCCCTGCATCTCAACCTCTGTCAGAACTTTTTTTGCCCCACGATCGACAGGAGACAGTAGCAGCCATGACGCAGTAGCAGGCAAGCCTTAAAGAGGCTCAAAATTCAGTGGCTATTTTGTTAAAAACTAATCATGCACGAAACCTGCACAAACTCCCGTGTTGTACCAAGCTGAGCCTCGTATCCAGCAACCGCCGGCACGCTACGCTATGCACCCAAGTTTGTACACGTAGCGTTGGCCCCACGACTCGTTCGTTCACCAGCAGATGCAATTTTTAGAAGTCGCTTGTTGATTGGTCAAGACCCGACGTTGCCGAGACGACAGTTGGCTTGCACAACAGGAGATGCTTGCATTGCCTTCTGATCTCTTGGTTCATTCATCTTTCTTTAAAGAGTACAAGGTAAACCCACGCTTCACCTTGTTTTTGACATGTCGTTGCCCGTGGTGAGTGCCTTAATGTGGTGTGACAACAGCCTCGGCTTGGCCGTTGAGCTTTATTCCGACTCCGACATCCGACAACGGCGGCTGTGTACCTGTGACGCAGCTTCTTTAATCCTCTTGCAGGGGTTATTTGTTATCGCTATGTTGCAGCAAACATGGGGTAAATGGCCCATTATCGCTTTTTCGTAGGAGAATTGTCATGTCGGCTTTTCACCATCACTTGACTACACCAGGTAATTAGTGCAGGTTTACAACGACCCAACATAAGGGTTGAATAAATCATTGCAAGGGACTTCAAGAAGCTTTACAAGGCTCAGATCTTTGTCTCTTAAGATTACCATAAGGTGACACTATGAAGGGATGTAGTCGAGGATTTGGCAATCCGTCCTCCAGTGGCGTGTAACTAGGTGCGCAGACGGCCTAAGGGCTATCCCATGGCCTTAAAAACGCCTGCAGCGAAACTTCGGTTTGCTCCTCAACCCTGTTTGGGGAGTGGTCCTTTGCATCCCTCGCCTTGACCGTTGGCTGGAGCTTCTCTTCGTCCTACGCAGGATAGAAGCGTGTTACCCCGGACGCAGTGCAAGCCAGGACGGCCGATGTGTGAAACAGCATTCAAACCTTGTGTGGTCACAGAACAAAAGCGCTGCAGCTGTCTGTTCTTGTCTATGGGGTCGTACATCTCGTGTAGTGCGACACTGTTAGCTGATCGAAGTCCGCGGACCTTGGGGAAACACAGGACCACGAGGACCCATGATGTGGCAGGTAGGTATGTCTTCTACCTCGACAGGCCTGACTTGGGTAGAATAAGCTTGGAACGGCCTTGTCGCCACCTTCTGGGGATCGCCGTAGGCGAAGGGAGGCGGATCACAATGACCTACACAAGCTATACTGACTGTATCGGCCGCATCTATGTTGAGCAGGCTTGCTATTTGAAGAAGCTGAGGTATGCTTTCCGGGGTGTTGACAAGTGAGACAAAGCAGACCAGCATCATAAAATAGAAATCTAGTAAATAGACAGTCAACATGAAAATAAGGAGGCTCTCTAGGTCGCAGCTTTCCAGACAACGGTTTCCCCCCATGGGCGAAGAGTTGTGGCAGAGCCATTCCTTACGCACTGCGTGCCCAACGCCCAAGTCATGTGTCTACAGAGCCTGTATTCGTTTAATAATTCCATAGGGAACTGTTGCCTGTCAATCCCAGAAAAGGCCGCGGCGGTGATGAAGATGTTGGTTCTTTTCCACCCAGCAAGAAGCCGGCAACATCCCACTGTAGGCTTCATGATACGCATGCCCCTACTACAAATTTAATCTGAAGTAGCTTCAAAGACACCTCCGGCTATCAAGGAGCTAGTTTGAGGCCGTCAGTACGTGAACAAGACAAAGCAAGCTGCCTTGGTGCAAAAATGTTGTGAAGCTCTCACATTCGTGCACCATGCGGCAAACATCAAAACGTGATCAGACATCGGGACAATAAAACAGGGAAGAATATTCACAAGTTGGACATCGACTAGAAAGCGTGCTAGATACGAATATATGGTTGAATATCAGTTGATCTAAAAACCCCTGTATTCTATGCGTGAGAAAAGTTAGCTTGCCAAGACCATCGTTTGTCCAGATACAATCAGTTTAGAATTCTCAAGCATCCCACGCCGTTGGAGCGTAAAAGCAAACTGTGGCATGAACGAGGACTTCCTAGAGTCTTTTCCTGCCCGTTTCTTGAATGCAGAAAATGTATACAGTTCATGTCTTTCCCCCCTGACTCACTGTTTGTTTGAAACCCGTCCAAACTAAGAGAGCTCACCAGATGTTTGATCTAGTCAACCATCCCAAGATTTCTAACCTCACTTGAGGCGGCTTCCAGCATCGAGTCCCTCCTTTTCATGCCATGTCCGTAAGAAGGGGAGTGCTCTGGTCAGCCGCACCTTTTTCCATCACAACGTATAAAGTTCGCCAAGCCCAACCACACACTTGTTGAAATATCAACTCCAAAACGGGTCAGGGAGATCAAGCTTCATTTTCTTCATTCTCGTTGTCGTCCTTTGTTGGCCGTCGGCCCTCTGGCAGATACTCGCAGGCAACAGCAAACGCCGCGGCAAGGGGAACCAGAATAAACCACGCAAGATGACCCCAAAGAATCTGACCTCGAACTCCCACAGCATAAATGGCCGTAGCGGCACCTGGCACGATGGACCGAATACCACTGGAAAGAGTCAAGGCCAAAGCGTTCAGAGTCCCCAGGACATGAGAGTCAGGGGCAGCATCGTTGAGCGCAAGCTGCACACCTGTGAACGCCATCGACACACCAGGGCCAATAATGGCAACGACGGCTCCAAAAGTCCAAAACAGAACCGTCGTAAAATGTGTGTTGGCCCGAAGCAGCGTGTTGAGAAGAATATACCCAGCAAAGAAAAAGGGGTACGCAAATCCGCACAGCTTCATAACATTTTTCGTGCCGAAACGGTGCTGCAGCATGGGAAACGCCAAGACCAGCCACATGGCTTGGGCTGCTCCCTGGAGGGCCATGTACATGGAGATCTTGAAAGAGTCAAACTCCACGCCGCCCATGTCGATGGGCGTGTAGAGCACAACCGGCATGATGGCTGTAAAGGCAAAGGCGAGGAACATGACGTGGCCGTAGACCCAGAGGACGATGCCGACGCCGGGGGCTTTGAGGAGTTCCAACGTTGATAGGGGTGGTTTTGACGAGGTGATTTCTCGGTGGGATAGCTCGTCCGTGCCTTGTTTCTTGAGGGTCTCCTTGAGGAAAAGGGCGCTTGTGAGGGCACTCGTGGCGCTGATGATACCGGTGACAAATCCTGGAAGAGCATAGGGGTACTCGAGGAAGAACTTGTTGTGTCCAAAGCTTCCGGGATACTGAGTGGCCGGATTCGCCAGAGCACCGCCAATGATGGGCCCAATAAACAGTCCCAGGTTTCCAGCAAAAGCAAACCAGCTAAAGGCACGTGCCTGCGTCTCAGGCGTGCTATGCTCCGAGATCATGGTCCGAATAACAAGACTGGATCCTGAAAAGACACCCGCCAAGCACCGGAAGAGAATCATCTGCGGAAGAGTCTTTGCCATGCCAAAGAGCGCTGGGCCGACGGCTGTGCCGACGAGGGTCAAGACGAGGATGGGCTTGCGGCCGATGCGGTCTGCGAGACGGCCCCAGCTGATGAGCACCAGCATCTGGGTTGCCGAGAACAAAGACTCGATGAGGCCGCTGTAGAAGCCCACGTCAGACTTGGGTAGGTTTCCATTCCGCTGGACCATCTCGGCGATGAAGGGAAAGATGCAGAAGAAGGCGATGGGCTCCGTCATCCGGGCGTAGCAGAGGAGAAAGATCTGAAGCTTCGGCAGGGGCTTTCCCGGCTTGACCTCCGGGGGTGCATCGTCGCCGGGTCCGGGAGTACCGGCGCCGGAGCGGACGGTGGGTGTCGCAGTGCCGATGAGAGTGGAGGCCTCGGTGTCGACTTCCAGGCCGTCACCGAGGAGAGGGGTCGTCTCCGAGGCATCCCGGAAGGGGCTCTGGGAGCGGCGCGGAGCAGCTGACATGGTTGGTCGGTTGATGAGGCCGCTTTACGAGCTGTGAAGGGTATCCGAAGGGGCAAGAGGCATTGGGTCTATCGCGGCGGGGTCTGTGATGCGTACATGCCTCGCCAATGCCAGAGAAATCACCGAGTATCACAACGCGTCGAGGTTGGAATGTTGTTGAAAGGGCGAGGTTATTTGTGGATCTCGACGGCGTCGAACTGCCTATTTCGGACATGATGTCTAGGGTAAGCAGCTTAAATCTAGGCGATTGCAACGCAAGAAAAGACGACGAGTACCACGTCAAAAAGGGCAGCTATTCTAGCTTTTATAATTTTCCAATAACCAATCTAGACCATCTAAATTGTCACTCAGAGTCTGGCATGCGCAGACGCTCTCTTTGCCCTCAGTCACGTTCCGTGTTTCAGACCCAGCTTGAAACAATGACGCGGGCACGGTCGCAAACGGGCAAGTCTAGGCACGGCACAGCACCCGAGTGGAATGGTCTCGACTCGCATGGCTAAAGCCCGTTGTTGGTTCCTCCGAGATATAGGCCGGCAGGCGAAAAAGAGATGGAAAAGGACAAAAAGACGCTGCATGCCGTGTAATAAGAGGAAAATTCCCCACGGGAACCCTGGGGATGCATTCGGACGACGCAATGCCACTCGAAGGCGTCAAAGAGAGCATCCCGCATGGCCTGGTCGGGCCTCACAAATCAAACATGTTTCTCCTACGCGTGACGGGCTGCTCGGGATGCCGAACGGTCTCGAGTTGTTCTGGTTCCAACCAGAAGGTCTTCCGTCGTCTTTATTAAATCTTCTTGACCCTTGGATCCGCATGGAGAGATTGCGGATGCACCACTCGCCCAAGGCAACCGCCGATCCTTGCGTTATACAGAACGTGGGTTCCCCGGACCAACGGGCTTGTCCCAAGTCATGACTGCACCTATCAGACTTCTGCCGCAGTTGCTGATCGTACTTGAACTCGAGCCAGCCCGTCTGAGAAGGGCCGTATAAGGGCCTACCCATCTTGATCCGATTTGGGACTCGGTGAGGGCTCCAAGTGTCTGCACATGTCGACGCACCATCTCAATCTCCCGACGGCCCTATCCGAATGTCTTGTTTGATTTCGTCACCATCGGCGAGGGGGAGTGCGTTGTCTGTGAATTGCAACTTTGCAAGTCTGTTGGTGTGGTGAGTGTGGTGGCACACCAAAGATGGAGCTCTGAATTATCCCTAATCAACGTCACTAAAGATCAAGATCAGCCTAAAATCAAGCTTTTGCTCGCCGACAACTGTTTCTGAAACTGCTCATCGTCTTTTCATCGAGAGGAAGTTCTTCTTTGCCATGTTGCTTCGTAAGTGGGCTTGATCATGCTCCATCATGGAGATGATAGCATCAGTTTGGAAAGCCTCGAGGTCGACATGTCGATTGTTCTGAAGCACGCAACGCCATGGCTTGACCGTCAGATACTTGACTCGCTCGGCCTGTCTTAGATTCGACCCCAGAAGCGGTCGAATCAGGCCGAGCTTGTCTGTCAGTCTCGTTGGCATGCATTCCCCAATAGGGTTGATATGACGGTGATATTCACGCCAAGCCTTGGAGATCCACACGACGTGATTGTGACAACACAGAGCCTTGTCTCAGTTGACAGAGGCCAAGGCATCGATCGGGGGTTCTCTCGGGTCAGGAGTGTATGATGGCATCGGGGCTTGGAAAGTAAGTGATCGACGAAGTTCCAGAGCACCTTTGCTAGCGAGTTAGCAAAACCAACCTTCAACTGCCTCCAAAGAGGCGTTAGGCTTTGCTGCATCGTCTCGCCAGAGCCTGCCTCGTCAAGGCGAATACAGTCCCATTGCTGCGCTGTAAATGTGCCCAACTCCCCCAGAGGGTCGGTTTCGGCCCGGTTTAATCAACCGACCACGGGGGTGTTCCCTCATTGAAACAAGTTCTCTGTCCAATGAAATCAAGCGGCAACAGGAAGGCAGAATCGAGAGGCGCTCTTTTGCAGACGCAGGGAGCATATGCGGTGCAAAAAACCGTTGGCTGGCGATTCGGCGGAAGGGGGGCGGGTTGGTTACACGGGAATGTCGTCGACAGGCTTCCAATGGAGACACGAGTTTGGAGCCGCATATTTTTTCTCTCAAAAGGAAATGCTGCTTGTGGCTCATACAGTTAGCCACAACGCCAGGCTATTGCGGGTTGGATCCCGAGTATCTCGACGGGGATATATGCTTGGCATCGTCTCGAGTCTATACAGCGGGTTTGTCTGGCAGTGCTCTAGTTGCAGTCCTTCCCCAAGCACGAGAGGCACGGCACGTCGTTTAACGTTAGCCGAGGGTGATGGACCGGAGGAGGGAGCGATACTGCGGCAAACTGCTCAATGTTCCCTGCAGCTCCGGCAGGCTCAGGTTGGTTGCAGTAAGGTCTTGATCTGATTATTTCAGCTTGTTAGGCAGCAGTCAGCTCATCACCAACTTCGGCCCTGAATAGACCTCACCCTGCTATCCCTTCTCAGCTTTCCGTATCAGGACTGGCCCGGCTGGTGATGGATGTAACCATCCGACTTCAGGACCCGGACTCCGCGGTGCCGAGCAGAAAAGTAACCGGCGATAGAATGTCACTTTTGGATATCGAAGAAGAAGCAGCACCGGCGAGCTGGAACCCGTGGGACCATGGAGGAGTTGGAGGAGGTTCGGATAACTGGGCCCCGTGGGATCGGTAAACGGGTATCATGTGACTCGCTTGTTTAATGAGCAGAGGGAAGGAACGCTGACGAAGATCTCTCGAGGACAGGGACGGTTCGCAGAGACAGAAACCGAGAGGCGAATCCGATTGCAGGACGACATGCATGAGTCTGTCATCAGAGACTGGGGGGAGACGTGGTCGAGATTGCCAGAGAAGAGGGGGGAAATACAAATCACTATTACGTCTCGCCCCCAGTCCGCACGTTTCCAAGTCCTACCTGTGTCCTTATTTGCCTTAGTGCGGGAACCGCGGCTTTGGACTGCGCAGACCCGTCTGCGTGGTGGTGTGATCCTGACTGGATGAGATGTGACAGAGAGAGTAGAGACGGGAGGGACTCTGTCACTTTCCCCCCACGTCTAACAGCTGCTGTCTCGGCCGACCACACTAGCTTCTTTCTTTGGGAGGCATTCTTTCAAGGTCTAGGCTCTCGGAACGGGGGGAAACCAGACAATGCTCGCTACCAGACACAGCATGGATCCGTTGTTTAGGAGGAAGACTTATACAGGGCTGAGTAATGTGGAGTGTGCTGTACGAATTCCGCGGAGCCCTTCGAGGTCTTAAGCCAAGGGCAGGCAGCAGCAACAAGCTCGATCCATCCATTGAGCTTGGTTCCATCCCTCGACAAAGGGAACGGGGGTTCCGCTCCATCCATGGGCCACGAACAATAACCCAGCTAACCCGCGACAGCAATAACGCGTGGCGCCACAGGGCCAGAAGCCCATCCAGGACCTGCCAGCTTCTCTTCAACTCGCAGCATTCTTGGCTTCCCAGAGGTCTCGGGCAAATGGGAGCGGACCGTTGCTTGATTATCAGGCAGGTTTGGCAGGGGGTGTGAGTGTAGGACCCCGTTGCTCTTCTTCGAGGCTAGGGGGAGAGAAGAGAGAAACTGTACGTACTTCCTTTCTTGTCTCTGGTTCTCGTTCCTCGTTTTCCTTGTTTCTCCCGTCCCATCCGCCTCATCGACGTCAGTTTGGAGCCATGGAATCTCTGTCTTGCATGCATCCGCCAAGGCCTTCGCTAACTAGAATCGCACATGGCGCGATCTAGAGGCCTGGAGAAAGAGGCCTAAGGTCAGCCAGCCCGAGCGTCCGCGGCTGACAACCAGGGGGTTAAGTGGTCCAAACATGTCGGTTCGGTTCAGGTCCCACGTCCAAGACTACGTTAGGGGCTTCGGAGAACCAAGGACGCAAGGGAGCTGCTGGGACATGGGCAACGTTACTGGCTTCATGTAGAGGAGACACGCACACATGACGACACACACACACACACATGAGTGAGTCTATAGACAGACAGGACAGAGATTCTTGACCGGTAAACAGCTGAGACTCGCCTGGTGGATGCCTTCTCGATGCTACCTTGATCCACCCCCCTTTAAGGGCGTCCAGAAATTGAAAAGGGGGTGTCGAGAAGATCTACGGCGCGCAAACTCAAGGGGACAGGACAGGGGGACCACACGGTTCAAACTTGGACCACCACCCATTACTGCAAAGCAGAGGGGTCCCTTGCTGAAGATCGTTGTCTCACCAACGTCAATTTCCCGGGGGAGGCCACACTAGCTGCCAGATGGGACAAGAAACGTCGACGCTAATAACCAGGAGTCTGGTTGACGATGCCCTACGTATTCCCGGGCATGGGAAACTGGTTTTTTTGGGGGGGCGAGGGGGGTGCCTGGCCTTTTTTCTTTATGCACGCGTTCAAGACGCATGACGCGTGGAATGGCTGGCCCGCGACACCTTGTCTACCTGTGTAGCTGAGCTGTCTTGTCTCTCCATTTTTACATAGCAACTTGATCAAAATTGAAACTGGACGAGCACTGCACTGCTCCTTGCAAGCCCTCCCCTCGTCAGCCCGCCACTAGTCGGCAATGAGGCCGACATAAATAGAGCCCCTCTCTGTTTGACTCGAACTTCCAATAGTTAGCGGCTGCCCGTCTAAACGGCCAGAAGAGGAGAGGCTCTTTTCAAGAAAGGGAACTTTGCCCTTTTTGTTGACGTGCCTTGAGTTGGAAGAAGAAAAAACCCCTGGCATTTAGCTTAGCTTTGGCGTTGAGCCCTTTTTCTTTTTTCTAGAAACCATCACGACGTGGCTTGCCTTCCCACCCTTGCAGCAGCGATACGACGTTGAATAGACGAGCATTATTAACCCTAGCAGCTATAACAGAGAATTGCCATCTGGGTTACCGCGGCCAAGTGGGAAAAAAAGGAGTGCGTTTTTAAGTTGCCCATCTATACGTGGGGTTTGTAAACAAGGGGGAAAAAGAGACGTGTAATTTACTACAGTACCTAGCCACAGTGCCC